TTTCTGCATTTCAGGAAACACTTCTTTATGATTGTTGCCAATCCGGTTGCAGAGATGACTATCGGTAAAATTTCGACTTTTCTCAAATTTTTAATAGATTTGAATTGTTCTGCCTGCTCAAAATATTTACTTATTTTTTCCCTTTCTGTTTTATTTAGGTTGTGATCGTTCGGATGAGCAACATCTACGAAGTACCCAATCTTGTCCTGTTTGTTGAGAAGCACGATATCTGGTCGGTTGTTTGCCACAGTTTTGTCGGTTTGTATTGTTGTGTCCCAGTATAAACGGTAAGTATTGTTTTCGAGAATGGGAAAAGGTACATATTTGTGGTATCTTTCTTTTTGTTCTTTCAGGTTGCACAGTATTGCCAGTTCTTGATGGATTATGTTCGCAGTCAAATTATGTCGTTAGAGGTATTCAGTTGGAGCAAGGTAAGTACATCCTGAGATATCGTGCTCTATTGTTTCCGCATGTCTGTTACACAGTCTGCATAGGTCGTTATCCAGCTGCACTCCATGTACAAATTTTATGTGATTTTTTGTTGCAATTACATTATCTTGTATTGCTACCATGAATCCTTCTGTTTCTCCAAACAGTTGTCCCTTTCGTAGCCACTCAGTTGAGGACTGGAGATCGGCATCATTCAGCTTATTGGGAAATCTGCCGTGCAACGGTTTTGACAGCCAAGCAGTCTTTAATTCAGCCATAGTTAGCACAGGAACATCTTCATTGGAGGACAGATTTACAGGTGAGTAGTGATCTAGGACGTAGATTATCTTATGCAGCTCTGATTCTTCAGTTTTGATCCTAAAGTACTTTTTCAGTTTATTTATCTGTCTCTGATATAGGGTTTTGAGATCTAGCAGGCCTCGTCCGCCCGTGCTACGTGGCATATACAGCCGTTCAGTGCTGGCTCTTGCATGGTGTATGTTGAACTTGGTCAGTTGTACTCGGATGCATCTATTTGTAGCTTCAAGTTCAGTTTGTGACCATCCAATAACCCCGAAGGAGTACGTCAAAGCTGGCACTGCCCATGAATTAATAGCCTTTATTTTATTTTTCGCTGTAAGTTCTGTACGAAGATTGCTGGAGACTCTGGTTTCTAAAGTTTTATTTAATTTTTCTTTTGCACATTTTCGGTCTATTATTAGTCTCTGTTCGTAGCCCAAGTACTTGTAATTATCTTTGTTTAAATAGCGGATATTTTCATTTTCTAGATTGTCAAATTCTTGGGGCTTTCCTTTGCGGGCTATCAATTTAGCACATTTGTCTAATCCGAATTTCATTTTTATGTCAGTGCTAAATGTTTCCGTGAGGCTAATTAATCGATTTAGGTCTTTCTCTGTTGGAGCGTAAAGCTTAAGATCATCTACATAGAACAAATGAGATATGATGTAACTCTGCTCACCATTCTTAAGTTTGTATCCCAGACCCGATTGACACAAAGCTTTGGATAGAGGATTGAGACTGAGTATAAACCACAGGCTAAGCGAATCTCCCTGAAAAATTCCGCTCTGTATGGGTATTTCCTCGGTTGTTATTTGTTGTTCTGCTGTATTAACAAGCAGTTTTGTTCTCCAGGTTCCCATACATGTTTTCAGAAACTCCACAATTCCTTCGTGTACCTACCTTGTATATTTTCAGGACTTCGATCAGCCACCTGTGGGGTACAGAATCGAATGCCTTTTGGTAATCGATCCAAGCCACAGCAATATTTCTTTGACGATGTTTTTTTATTATTATTATTATTATAATTATTATTATTATTATTATTATTATCATTATTATTATTATCCAATTTGTGATTTCACCGAAGTATTTGGAACTTCAAGAGACCAAACGACAACAAGAAAAACAAGCTCAACGATAAAAAGAAAAACGCAAGACGAAGAGATCAAACGACAAAGAGAAAAGTAAGAAGAAGAAGCTACACGACAATAAGAAGAGGCTAAACAACAAAAAGAAAAACAAGAAAAAGAAGTCGAACGACAACAAGAACGGCAAGAAGATATTGGATAACTGCGGAAAATATTTCAAACCATATAAGGATCTGTCGCTAATCTAGAACAAAAGATTAAGGAAGTAAAGACCGAAGTTAAAGACGATGTTCAAGAAGTTAAAGACGATGTGCGAGAAGTTAAAAACGACGTTCGGGAAATAAAAGCTGAGGGCAAAACCGATGTCCAGCAATTAAGACAAGAAGTTGAGGACCAAATTTAAGCACTTGAAGATAAGATGAATAAATTAGAAATACAGTACATCAATCCAGGTACTGTTGAAGCATTATTCTCTAGTACGAAGGTTAAACCAAACCACCAACTTTTGACGGTTCTACGTCCTAGACCATGTATATCAGACAATTTGAAGCTGCTACAAATACCAACGGATGGAATCATCAAGAAAAAACTACAGCACTGATAGTGGCGCTACGAGTGCCCAAAGGATGAACAATCGTCAAAAGAAGACGGTAGCTTCAAGAATCTTATGACTAAGTTCATGGAGAAATTGGAGAAACTATTACTAGATAAGGTAGACAAACGGGAAACGACTCCAGACAAACACCAACACCGTGAAACCGAGTAGAATGTTACCGGTGCCAAAAGCTTGGACATATGCAATGGGATTGTAGACTACGGATGTCCTCTCCATCAAGGGATCATTCCCAACGCTTTTGGAGATCTAGAGACGCCAGCCCTAAACCTCGACCTGGAAACATGCATGAGAAAAACACTGGTCCAGCTGTGAGAAGAACGGGTCTTATCGTTCATGACAATTGAACTTCTAAACAAATGAGAGCAAATCAAGAGGCAGACCAGGACATCGGGCAAATCCTACATCTTGATGATGAATGTAAGCCAGAATGGAGGAAAGTGTCGAACAAGAGTTTGAATAAGAAGGCGTTTTTGGCTCAGTGGAACACTCTGGCCGTAGAAAATGGTTTACTTAAAAGAGTTTGGGAAAGTGCCGATGAGAAATCTACGGAAAGCCAACTAGTTATTCCAAAAGATCGAGTAGAAGATGTATTAAAAGAAAAACATGACGGAGCTTCAGGGACACATTTTAGAGTAAACAAGAAAATGCGAAATCTGTGCTACCAGTAAAGACCCTAAACTAAGATCTTGGGAGCCCATGAAACAGTACAACGTCGGTCTTACATTTGAAAGAATAGCGATAGATGTTGCCGCACCATTCCGTGGTAACAAATATATCTGGGTTATCATGGATTACTTCAGTAAATGGCCAGAAGTTTTCGATCTTCCCAATCAAGAAGCCAACATTGTTGCCCAAGTGCTAGTTGACGAAGTTTTCAGTCGTCATGATGTGCCACTAGAGTTGCATTCAGATCAGGGACGAAACTTCGAATCTGCCATTGCCATTGCCATTAAGAAGATTTATCAGATCATGGGCATTCGTAAGACAAGGACAACACCTTCACATCCACAGTCTGATGGCATGGTAGAACGATTTAATAAGACCATAGAGAAGAACACCTGACCAAAGTGGTCGCAAAGAAGCAGCGAGATTGAGACAAACACTTGCCTCTATTTTTAATGGCTTACAGTGTCCTTATTCTTGAAACAGGGGAGCAGCGTTCCCAGGAGAACGAGTGTTCCGTCTTTCTCAATGATACGAAAATGATAATATCAGGAACAAAGACGGAATACTCGTTCTCCCGGGAACGCTGCTCCCCTCTTTCAAGAATAAGGATTCAGGGCAGCTGTTCACGAGTCAACAGGTAAAAGACCAGCTAGAATCGGTTTTGGAAGGGAACTCAGGTTACATAGCGATCTGCTGTTTGGTATACCTGAAGAAGAATAAAAATAAATTCGAGATGACTGACAAAATATCATGGGCGCCAAGTTAATCGGGACGATCAACCTTAAGAGGAGAGCAGTGTCGGGAAAATCTTGCGGAAGCGCAAGGGTCTACAGAATTGGACAGCTGATTCTAGATTTTACAGTGCTATTCGGGAAAAGGGGCTATCGCGTTTATTCTGGATTTTACAAGAATGGATTACGGATATATAAAGGCTAGTAGGACTACTATTAGTTTGTGGTTTTTAAGATTGGCTGTGATATCATGATATGATTTAGATAGTGAATATTGTGAAGTTGTAAAGAGTTGAGTTGTTTTAGTTAATTAGTGAAGTAATTATAGTGTCTGAGTTCTGAGTGTATAGTAACGTGAAATAAATTATTATTTACAACCACATACGTAATGTTGACATTTCTGACTTTTCAAAAGCTTGAAAGTGACACTTTTTGAATTTTACTTTCCACCCGAGTGGAAAGTAAGTTCTCATTTTTTAAAATGTTTAAGACGAGTCCTGCATGTCAAACGTTTTTTTAGATGAGTCAGAACTTGTCAACAAATTTTTAAATTTTTTTTTAGTATTTAGTCGAAATTATGAGGGTTGTTATTGTTGTAAATAAAATGGTATACAAACCTCGGTAGGAAGTTTCATTCCTGTCTCGAGATTATAGTTAACTTCGACGCTTCGCGTCTCAGTAACTAACTAATCTCTCGACAGTAATGAAACACTTTCCACCTCGGTATGTAATATACTATTGTTGTGTTAATTGGACTTTGATTTTGGAATAAACGGACTCGAGATTTTTGTCACGCACCCTAGAGCCGTGATAATACTGTTTAATGTTAAATCGACAAAACACAAATAATACTGTAACGATTTTAGAAAAGCTTGGCTAATAGAAATGTGTTCCATATAGGTACTTTGATTTCGTCAGCGTTTAGTGGTAAAAATTAATCTCAAAAATCACCAACCAAAAAGCATTGGTTGAATGGTTCAGTGGAGTGACAAAGTAGCTGTTGATGAAATGCCCACAGGTTGCTGAAATGGAGATTTTGTTGTTGAAAGTTATATTGAAATTATTCCTTATTTAATGAAATATAAATTTGTAGATACAAAGGAAGATACACCAAAAAAAAAGTTTTCAAAGTATCCTACATAGATACTATTAATTAATAAGTGAAATAAACTTTTCTTCAAGCTGCTCAACTGATATGCCTTTTAGCAATGGCTAGGTTAAAAGTGAAAATTAATAACTAAAAAATTAAATGAGAATCTTCGAATGAGGCGGAAGAAAATCTTTGCTGCTCTCTTCCTTCGTGTCAGTTTTACTGGTCCTGAAACACTTCCACAAACCATATCTGGCTTCCCATTCTTCAAAAAACAGATCTGACTTGTTCCACAAAACGTGATGTTGAGCGTATTTGTAAACCACCTTCAATGGAGGATTCAGATGAGGTGCTGAATCGGATCGTCTTTCCATGATGGAAGTAACATAGGTGTAAAATACCTAATTAGAAATCAATCAAGTAAATTCTATAAATAGATTCTCACATACCTCTGCTTTATGGACATAGCATACTAAAGACAAAAGCGACATCACAATAGCGTGGACATGATGACAAGCAACCGTATTCGGAGGATTGGTTCGTAAAATGAACTCCTGCATCGACATAGCAAAAGACACTATACTTACGGCCACGTAGGATGCAGGTATTTCCACACAAATGATTGCTAAGTAAGTGTACATGTTGTCTAGATTTATTCTGAAAAAAATCAACTTTATTTTCATCTTCCAAAACAATACGCTTACTTGATGTCATAGTGGTTTTTCAATCCAGTCATTAATACCCTGTAAATATCAGTTCTGTGTCTTTTATAATATTTCCGGTCTCTTGCACTAAATTTGGCAATTTTTATATTGTAATATACGCCTCTAAGAAAAACTCTAAATACCAGAAAATTGAATTTTATCGTATGTTCGAGAAGTTCAATAATTCTTGCCTGGGATTTTGAAATTGATCTTTATTATCATGCCTGTCCATAATATTTTGGATAATTCTATGAGCGAACAAGTGATGATTGCAATTTTCCGACAGCATCATTGTCATGATATTCTCAAAGAGACTTTTCGGAATAAAATCTGTGTAATATCGCGTATTATAACGCAGAGCGGCATATTCTGCGATATTGCCAAATTCCAGTAGAACAACGTCTTCCATATTGTGATATGTGATTTTTTGCACTATAATGCACATCTGAAAAATGTCTCATACTTTAAAGGACTATTTCATTTTCGAAATTATTTATCATTAACTAAAAATATGCAAATAAAAATTACCAAAGTTAACAAATCTTTATTTTCCAAATTTCTCGTGATATTCATCAGGCTTGTTTTAAGTCCTATTTTCATGGGTCCATAACGAAAATCATGGTAACTTTTAGGCCCGAGACTTTTCTCGAACATATCCAAGAGCCTTTTCATTAAACTGTTGGACATGTACGCAAATTTGACTTTGGCTAGAACTTCTGAGAGGATTTTTATCAAGACGCGTGGTTCCACGTCTGAGTTAAAAGAGCAATTTTCTGCTGTGGCTTTGGTGAAATAAATTATTTATTGTAAATCAATTGGAAAATTGTGGTACTCACTTAGAATTTCTTCTATAACTTCTTCTATTTGAGTATAGTAAATCAGTAAAATGCAAATCATTTCCGTTAAAGGAAATTCTACGGACCACAGTCTTCCAATGGTCCACAACCTCCCTGCTGTGTAAAAAAGTAACATTGCTTTCAATACCATAGGATATGCTGACTTGGGAAAAACACTTATCAATCTCCTATAAAGTTCCATGCATTCTTGAAATTGTCTCCTAGAATAGCAGGTTTTTCAAATTTCCAAATGAATTTACATAGTTTATTAATAATTACTGTCTGGTCCAAGTTATAATAGACTTCGCTCCGCTTCTAAATCTCATTTGAAAATGATGTAAGATACTCATTATTGACCAAGTAAGATGTACAATATGTTGAATTTGTACGTGAAACATGTCCATTCTCAAAATAATGTCTTCAATCATTTTAATTGCTGAAAAATTGGCTGTTCTATATAAGTCTATCATGATTTTTTAATATACCTACCTGCGCTCCTCTTCAAATGAATTTCATGTAAATCATTTATGTGTTTCAAGCAACAATTGGTAATTCTTTTGATTTGCCAATCCAATTCTTGGGAAGTATAAATGGGAAGCACCCCCAATAATCTTTTAAATATAGTTGTGAATTTTTCTCTCTTATCATAGGCAAGTTCAATATCTGGTATGTAAATAATAGCTAAAATAAATTCAAATTCAAATTTTTTTTCATCGAATCTTGAAGACACTCGCTTACAATTCCACAATTCTTCAGATGAATCTCTAGTTTCGACAAAATCAATCAACTTTTCTCCGTCTATGCTCGATTTAGGTTCAAAACTATCGCTTTTAGTGGTTCTACTGTCTATAATGCTCATTGGCGATGTAACGCTGAGGTAACTTAAATCTTTCGGGCTCATTATGTCGCTTCTGCTAGGATTCATTGTGTTTTTGGGATGCGATAACTTATCTAAAACTCTCAAGAAATTGATATTTTTCTGACAGATTGTCACTAAATGGCACTTGATGAGATTGATACCTGGAACCGGTAAGTCAGTTTGTTGGTCCAAAGAAAATAAGAACTTTGAAGCTCATGAGGAAAAACTAATTACAGCAATTCTCTTCTGTGAGATGGTAGTTATCGTTTCAACCCTCTATGGCTCGAAAATTTGGTGCCTAACGTCGAATACCGTAAGTAATCATATTAATATACAGGGTTTTTCCCGTTCAACTGGTCAAAAATGCTAGGGTATATAGAAGAACCATAGAGAAGTAGGTAGTTGAGATAGGACACCGATGGTCGGAAGTGCCTCGTTTCCAAAATACAGGGTGTTGAAATTTAAACAACTACCTTTCATATCATCTGGAGGACTAATGCTAGACTGTTCAAATTTTCAGGGATTATTATTTTTTTTTTTGGGCGGTTCCAGGTAGAAAATGGGGGTGCATTATACGAATTTTTAAATATCATTCCTACATTAATAATCCCTGAAAACTAGCATTAGCCCCTCAGATGATATTATGAAGGGTAGTTGTTTAAATTACAACACCCTGTATTTTGGAAACGACACACTTCCAACCATCGGTGTCCTATCTCAAACTACTTCTCTATGGTTCCTTGTAGCAAAACGCACTCAAGTAATTTATTTAATTAGTTAGATGGTAAATGGCGAGCGGTATATTGATGGTGTTTATTTCCTTGAGTGGCTACCTATAAAATTGTGGAAGGGGTCAATTCGCAAAAGAGAGAAACAAATTATTGAGGTTTACTAAATTATATTTTATTATACTGAAAACCAAAAATTTAAATAAGCAAATATCTTTCTATTCTGACAGCCACTTCTATTTTTCCCAATTTAAATTATTTCACATCCGTTCAAATTTCATTAATCCGGCCGAAGTAATTAAATTAGAGCCGCGGTAGCCATCATTGAAATACCTGGAAAATTATGTAGCTTCGTTGACGTTACACACTAAATTTGGATTGGGTATCTTGGATTTCCTAGCCACACAGATGAGATCTGATAGATCGAAACGCGTCTGTGGATGGAAAAGCGAAGAAAATTAACCAAAAATTTTCACATCAGTGTATGATAGGAGAAAACTTTTTTTTTCCCTATTTTGGGTTTTCCCAACAAACTGATTTTTGGTCGGCCCATTAAACGGTCAGTACCTTTACAGCAAAAGTGTTGTTTAGTGCTGAATCCTAGTCTTAGATGGCGCCACGACCCCCTTCGTATAGTGAATATTGTAAGAGTTAAGTTGATTGAGTTAATTAGTTAAATAATTAGTGTCAGGCCCGGTTTATTCAACTCCTGATAAACTTGCTGGGCTGGTAACTATCTGTAAGATCTGTGAGATAAATTCTTCAGTTATATTGGTCGACGGATAACTGGCTGACTAATCCGATTACAGATTGCGTTTTTATCCGTCCGATTGCATACCTGACAGTTTATCAGAATGTGAATAAACCGACCCTTAGAGTGTTTTAGTAACGTTAAATAAATTATTGTTGTGTTAATTGGACTTTGATTTTTGAATAAACGGACCCAAGATTTCTGTCAGTCACGCACGCCAGATCCGTGACATTAGGTCGGCATACACACACGTTATTTCGCGCGGTTTATCGTGGTCCTTCAATCAAAGACAAGCAAGATATTTGAAGATAGTTTGAGAGAAATTCCAGAACATTCTATTTATGCCTATTACGAGACAACAAGCAAACAAGGAAGAGCAAAAAATTGAAGAACTACTGCGCAAAATGTTGGAACTTCAAGAGGCCAAACGACAACAAGAAAAACAAGCCAAAAAGAAAAACAAGAAGAAACCCAGGCGACAAAAAGAAAACAAGAAAAAGAAGCTAGAAGACAACAAGAAGAGGCAAAGCGACAACAAGAACGGCAAGAAGATCTTGGACAACTGCAGAAAATATTTCAAACCATAAAAGGATTGTCGCTAACCTAGAACAAAAGATCAAGGAAGTAAAAGCCGAAGTTGAAGATGATAGTCAAGAAGTTAAATTTAATGTTCAAGAAGTTAAAGACGATGTTCGAGAAGTTGAAAACGATGTTCAGGGAGTAAAAGCTGAGGAAAAGCCGCTGTTCAGCAATTAAGACAAGAAGTTGAGGACCAAGTTCAAGGGGGTTTTCATAATGATGAAGGCTCGCCGCAGACAGGCGCTGCCGTAGGCCGGCTACCATAGGAAGAATTTTTTTCCGGTGTCAGGCCCAAAAACGTTTTATTTTAAGCCTTCAAAAAATAACTTTTTGTAAGTGATTGTATAGTCAGAGCTGCTAGGCAACATGTGATTAATGATACCAAATGCAGATGAATCAAGTCCATGCTAAAACACAGGACTATAAACTTGATTATTGCTGAACCCTCTATTAAAGTAACCGCGACAAAAGGATGCCCACAGGGCGGAGTACTTTCACCACTCTTATGGAATCTAGTCGTGGATGAGCTTCTGAGGAAACTAAACGATCAAGGCTACATCACCCTAGACTACACGCGGATAACATAGTCTTTGTCATTAGGGGAGGATTTACTAGGACGGTATCAAACCTCATGCAACACGCGTTAGGAATCATTGAGGAATGGTGCACGAGGGAGCAACTTCGCGTCAACCCCTCCATAACACAACTCATTCCTTTCACGAGAAAAAAAAATCTAGAGAACTTAATCGCCCCTAGTCTATTCCAAAAAACCTTGGAGTTTGGCAGGAAAGCTAAATTTCTAGGCATCATCCTAGATATGAAGCTGACATGGAACCAATAAAAAGAGCGATTGGGAAAACATGGAGACTAAAACCGTCAGTTGTATAATGGATATACACTACGGTTGTAAGACCAATGATAACATATGGTGCACTTGTATGGTGGCCTAAAGTAAACCAAAGACAAGCAAACCTAGTGCTAGCCAAAATCCAGAGACTTGCGTGTCTTTGTATTACCGGTGCCCAGAGAAGCACACCAACGGCAAGGTTGTCAACATCTGGGAGAATACACTACTGTATTCTAAGCAGAAATATATGCCATCGACTCCTGTCTCAGAGAAAACCTCAAGAAGGGATACACAGGTAAACACATCCTTAGTTGCTCAGACGGACAAGCGTCGATCAAAGCACTCAACAGCTTTAAAATAAAATCCAAACTTGTCTGGGAATGTTTGGAAAACCTCAAAAACCCAAGTATGGCCAACAAGGTAAACCTTAAATTGGTGCCAGGGCATAAAGGAAATGAAAAAGCAGATGCTCTGGCAAGAGAAGGATCGGCAACCAGTTATACTGGTCCTGAACCGGCAATTGGCACCACAAAATCATCGATAAGAACAAAAATAAACCAATGGGTGTATAGACAATACAAAACCTACTGGCAAACCCTTCCGAAGCTGAGACACAGTGGGCTAATGGTACACAACCATCGCCTAAACTTATTGAAGAAATCCTACAAACTAAAGAGGAATCAAATCAGGCTAAAAACTGGACTTATAACTGGACACTGTAGCCTGAGAAAACACCTTCACACAATGGGCATTTTCCAAGAAGAACCCATATGCAGACTTTGTAACGAGGAGGATGAAACCGCCACCTACATAATCTTTGAATGTAAGGCTTTACGCTGGTGGAAATACAGACAGATAGGGCCAGAAGACCCTATCTCTAAACTCACCAAAAGTAATTCGGTGAAGAAGCTTCTAAATTAATCAAGGTCACGAAACTTTTCACTGACTAAACAGACGAACAGGACAATACAATAAGTCAACGGCTGCAGTGTTGGGGTCACCTAACCCGGCCTGTTAATTCTGCATCTTAACCAACCAAGTAATATAGTATAAGTTATGTGTTTACCTCGCTGTTTACTCATCTAAATCAACTCGCTGTAGGAGGCAAAACTCTTTAGGAGTGCCATGTATGTAAAATGGAAAATTTGTAGGTACCTATTAACCAAAATCGAAAATTCTTTGTACCAGTGCTAAATTTCGGGGGGGGGGGTTAACCCCCAAAACCCCCCCTATGGGTGCGCCACTGCCAGGATCTAAGTTAGACGTTAGAAATGCGCTTCGGAGACCATTACAGACAAGAAGTATTTAGAACTCAAGTTAAATCAAGAATTCAAAAACCCGGCGAGACTGCGAGAGTTAAAAAAATTCGAATCGGATGTTGAAAAGGTAGTGAGTCTGGCGTTTCCTGCAGCTGGGGAAGACATGCAGGAATGGATGGCAGTATCTATATTTATCGATGGTCTCAGAGGTTCCAAGATGTAGGAAAAACTGAGAATATCTAAGTTCAGAAAAAGTAGCGAAGCCCTTGTGCAAAAATTGGAACTGGAAGCAATCTTTGGTGTCTCACGAGTCACGACCCAGAATACGAGCAATGTCTATTGAACACCCAAAGGATAGACCCAAACAATAAAATAATGAGTGTATAGAGTTTAAGGATCGCTTTGTCAATGGTTTTTATAAAATTTCGACACTGAAGCATTATTGCATTTAATTGAATTGAATACATGACGGAACTTTAGGGGCACATTTTGGAGCTAACAAGACTTTGGACAAAATTCGGGAACGTTTTTATTGGTTCCACTATCACGAAGACGTTAAAAACTGGTGCCCAAAACGCGACATCTGTTCTACCAGTAAAGGCCTTAAACTAAAATCTCAGGTGCCCATGGAACAGTACAACGTCGGTCTTCCATTTGAACGAATAGCGATAAATGTGGCCGGACCATTTCCTGAGTCAGAGCGTGGTAACAAATACATCTTGGTTATCATAGATTACTTTAGTAAATGGCCGCTATTCCCAATCAAGAAGCCATCACTATAGTGGACGTTTTTAGTCTTCATGGTGTGCCACTAGTTTATCATTCATTTTATGGAGGACATTGAAATCAGAAACGAACTTCAGGACAACTTCTCTTGTCTCAACACTCAGGTGAACCTTAATAGATCTTACATCCCCTTACACAGACGTCTTTTGAATTAAATCAAG